TTACACACTATTAGTATTTTGGTGATTTGACTTGATTTTTGGATGACGCCATTACAAGGAAGTTAAAAAAACACCTTACCTCCATAGTACATTTCATTTTCCACTCCGCCGGTACCAAGACTTCTCCTTCAGAATGGGCCAAATTTTCAGCCTCGGCCGGAGCTCTTCAGCACTCAAAGATGTTCGTACTCAATTCAGACGTATCTAGAGGAAAAGATGTTACCATTAGACTGTAAGATTTTGGTACCAATTGGCTGCCAGTGGTAAGTGACTTGTAAATCAAGACGATATTCCATTTTCCGTATGAAAGTAAGGTTTTGAGACCACCAGTAAATCAGTAATATGAGATGTATTCATCCAATTTCGGTTAAGGTGATGAAGGACTGGTAGTAGAATTTTCCCGCAATGATATGAGTTGAGCTGATGTTTTCATTCAATTTCACAGAGCCTTGCTTTCTCAAAAGTTGTTATGATCCCGGCTGGAGTTGACTGTAGTTTCGACCTCGCATCGGTCTTGTCAGCACTCCATTTGACAGTGCTGCTCTTGTCCTCAATTACCAAAGTTTTGTGCAAACTAGGCTTGTCAGCGATGATGTACATTGCTCTATACTCTAAACAGACTGTCAGTAGTGGATCAAATGAGCGTTCAATTCTGGTGTAAATCAGAGCTAGAGGCGGCAGCTTTATGCAGCAATACGTAAGATTTTAACCCGATCATTGCAATACATTTTATTATAAGTGGCTAAAATTAGTGAACATTCATAAAGTTAACCTTCTGCTGAAAGAAGAAGCACCTATTGCCACGCAAGGCCTGAATGCCGCAACCTCGTGATTGCTTTCTCATGAAAATTTCTTTTCTGAGCTCAGCTAAAAACGGGCTGCACTCGAAAATCAGGCTTTCCTTTCAGTTTTAAAGCATCCCATTTAAACCTCCAAATGACAGAAGTTGTGCACTTGTCTCAGTTGCTACTTCTGCACTTACTTCGGCCACATCAGATTGTCGAGCAAAGCATGATTTAATTAACTATTATATTGTTGAATACTTGCGAAATTATTAGTAATATATACATGTACTTGAAAATATTACACAATAATAATATTACTAGATATACTTTTATATGCATGAATATATGTAAGATATTATTTATAATAATATGATTACCCTGAATAAGAACTTTAGTCGCCTTAGGTTTCATAGGACGATGTGGGACGGAAAGTTGACTGCCCAACCCTAAAATGTGTCGATACGAAGTATAGCTGGGCTTCAATGAATCTTTATTTTCGTACAAAATTGCATGTAAAAGAGGTTGGTAGGTTGATCTCACCGGGAGACAACGGCTGACTTCCGTTGAACTGCACCCGTTTGGCTCTAATAAGACGTTCCGGTTGACGCCGCCCACGAGGCATGCTCCCTTGTTTGTGCGATTGCTACAATTCCATTTCATTTCACTCAACTTTACCTACTTTGAAGCTTTTTCGTCCAGATTGGACTTCTTCCTCGGAGTCTGGGTCTTATCATCACCGCCGATGCGATTCGAAAGCATGCCGTATTCGTCAAGTAGCAACATATTATGCCTCCCCCGCTCAGCCACACGTACCAGTGGCATTAAAACCTATTCAACCGAGTAGAAGCACACATAAAAGCTTGCTTTCTCTATAATAAGCTGACCATACAGTAGAGGTTGTTTGACCTTTTTCTCGCAACATGGTCATATTGATAGGAAGACTTATCTTGTCTCTTTGATGTGTTGTTGTGTGGTGCTAAGAATGGCGATACTTACTGACGATTGGGAATGTACCACGTCCACGGTTCAACTTTGGAAATGATTCTGTAGACAATAGACTCCGGACTATGTTCGTTCCTCTAAGTCTTCCTACCAATGTGACCATGTTGCAAAAACAAGGTCAAACAACCTCTAGTGTATGGTCATCTTATTGTAGAGAAAGCAAGCTTTTATGTGTCCTTCTACTTGGTTGAACAGGTTTTAATGTCACTAGCATTTCTCGATTAATAGCTCGAGCTAGCTTATGCTATTTTAGATGAGGCAAGACCTTATAGTTAACGTTTCCTCACTGACATGTATAGGCCCCATGATACCAATGGGTTTCATGGCTGCTCTGTTGTCCACTGACAATCGCGAGTGCAGTCCCGTCTGATGAGAGGAAAGGGTGGCAATATTCACTGACGCCACTGGACACTCTACTTATTTCAGTTTGTGATTAGTATCGTTCACTTCTTAACTCGCCTGAAACTGGCCATGCCAACTTGAGTTTTAACGTAAACGTGATTCGAAATGGCTCTTCTGAAGTTCTCCTGAATGCAAACTCGAAGCATAGAAACTCAAACCTTCTTTTATTACGACGAATCTAGCATATCTCCAGGGGCAAATTGCTCTTGAGAAGACGAAGCGGCAGAAGTCTGTAAGTCCTTCTTTTGTGTCATCTTTTCCCAACTGCCGTGCTTCTTCCATATTTGCGAACCTCACTCGGTTCGACGTGCGCAAAGGCTTCTCCGTTTGTTTATGGTTGCTTTGTGGCTTTACTTGTAAACATGCCTCTTGTTACGCCTTCAGCTGCAGGCATTTTGTCCACCACGAACACACACACACACACACACACACGAGGCCGAGTCCTGTCTTCTTCTATTTTAGATCGAGCATTTCAGGTAATTCCAGCATGTGCATGCTCTTCACTGATTTTTAAAGCTGGTTGGACCTAAAGTCGAAAAGTCAACTCAACTGCCTATTCGAGTAGAAGGTTCTCGACTTCTGGTACCAGCTCGACTGCTCAACCTCCAATCGTGACCGCTTGAACCTCACATTTTCAACCCTCCCACATGCGCCCGATTTTAGGCGTTTCTGCGATTCCACACAGCCTCCTTTTGCCCACAGAAGGTCGAGCAACCGCAGGCGGAAGAGCTGCGAAAGCAGCGAGTGTCATGACCGACTCGGTCGCCTCAGCCAGACACATCTTCCAACATTGTAGATACGAAGAGAAACTTGGTTTCGATGAATCTCCAGTCGGAGGGTTGGAGACAAGCAAAACTGTTGGAAGATGTTAGGGGGACCTTCATTTCGAATGAAAGTACATGAAGAAGAGATTCGTTGGTCGATCTCACCAGATGAGGACGGATGAATCTCGTTGTATTGCAGCCGTTTGGCTTTGATACGATATTCATTTTTGACGCAGTCTTGTGTTAACGTGAGACTCTTACAAGAATGAAACCCAGCTTTAATGATGTCCATCGAATGATGGACGTAAGCTCAACACCTTTTCACCCGAAACGGGGGAGGAATACTT